GGTGGTGAAAATAAATGGAATAAAACGTTTATTTGAACGACATATTTCTTTATTTATCTTAGCACAATAAAGAAGGCAATAAGAGAATACAATTTCATTACATGCTCTTATCTTTTATCTTTTACGTTTTTTTTTGTCTACTTCAACGATATATTTTATAATAATATATGTGATTATTGTTTATAAATACATAAATAGTATTAATATGTTTGGAAAGGTTATTAATTTGGCACCAATATATTATCAAAAAGCACTGTATTATTTTCTGGTTACGGAAGACAAAACTGCTTACGACTAATCTGACCATATCGAAGGGTAAAATGCTATTTGGTTTAACCGACATTTCTCTTAATACGCGACATTTATCGTTGTAATTGAATATGCAATTTCGAAAAGGGCACATGTCGCATATTTTGTCAAATACGTTTTTTCATATGTACATGTAGTTTTGAGGCTTACCTACACCCATTTTATAATAACTAGTGGTCCCCCGGTAGTCGAAATTCGACTATAATTAATTGAAATTATAAGTTTGTACACTATTATGATACTATTTTCAAAGACTATTTATTATACTTCTATAATCACAAAATTCGCCAAGACTACACTATTGAAAAATATTAATAAAGACAAACAATATTTAATCTATTCTCAATTTGACAATAGACGTCAAGAACAAAAGTTCGACAATAAATAAATAGTATGAATCACACGCATTCGTGCGTCAAATACATGGTATGTAGTGTGTGTAATGTTTTCTTTATTGATTTAATGTAACTTTTATGCGTTATCTTAAAAAAATATTAGCATTGTGCACTTCTTCTCTATATTCTCAATAAGTGTGGAAAATTTTATACTCCTCCGCCCGCGCAATTTTCGTAAAAAGGGATACAAAGTTTTTGCTTCACGTATTAATATATAGATTCCATTAATTTTCAATTGCTAATTAACACTAAAATATATCTCGAAAGTTAATATTTTAAATTTTACACTGCTTTAGAAAATAATTAGTTTTTTTTTCATTTCCTGAACATTTTACATTTTCAGAGATGCGCCCTTTTCAAAATTGCATAATCAATTAAAGGTGCGTTTTATTTGGTATTAGCATCAACAATTCTATATTTTCAATCGAACCTCAAGTAAGTTTACAAAATTAAAATAACTGAAGAAGTTTTTTGTAGTGATAATTTTTCCAATTACTAAACTTTAAATGGCTCTCCTATAAAGTTGAAAAAATCTCGCTTAAACCAATTTTTTTTATGCCAGACGAGCATACGGCCCATCAGATGATGAGTGGTTATCGTCGCCCATGGACGACTATCGCTGCCTACCGTTACAGCCTTTCACCCGTCGATATGTGTCTACTATATCTCCATTAGACATTAGACATTAACCATGCCAGGGGTACAGCCAAGCCTGCACCCTAAATAATACGTTACAGACATTAATATTGTAGTTAACTTATTGTAGTTTATGTATCTAAAATATTCTCAGAGATACATTAAAATTAAATTAAAGGCTTCGTCAAACAGAACGCGTAATTAGCGCGCGTCAGAGCGCTACGCTATGGTACTGTGGTAACATACCGTCAAACAGAGCGCCAGCGCTGTAGCGCTTATAGCGCTGGCGCTCTGTGTGACGGTATGTTACCACAGTAGTACATCACATCTCGGCGTCATAGCGCGGCGTTAGTTTAGCGCTCTGACGCGCGCTAAGTACGCGTTCTGTTTGACGAAGGCTTTAATGATTAAACATTTTCCGCGACATGACTACTAGTTCATGATAATTTCTCATATTTATTTATATTGATATTAATATTAACAGAAACGTTTTAAAACTCTGACAGCGATGCTTGTCGAAAATATTATTATATGTAATGTAATATTACTAAACACCAAAGTAAATACTATAATCTCTAAAACTTTCTAAATACTATAAAAATATTTATTTTGAGTTTTACTTCTCAAAGGTTTCCCTCCTAGTTCCTGTGATAATATCCTGCTTACAATTCATAAAGTTCTAATTTAAATAATGCAAACGCTATACAAAAGTTTGTTAGGATATATATTATATAATAATAAAAATCATTTATTGCCTTTCACATCACAGAAAATAAAATGAAATACAAATAAAAGAAAAGAAAAAAAAGAGAAAAAAAAAGGCAAAAGGAGGTGGCTCAGCTATTGCTGTTCGAGGTTGATAAATCGAACAGCGCTGATTTTCAGTCACCCCCGTTTCCCTTTGGTTCTTTGCGGGAATGAAGGCTAGGTACGTGTGTACATACTTAGAATATGGTATAAATTAGTAAAACTGGTAAATTATAAAAATTTAAGAAAAAAACAAAACAAAAATCAAATTAAATTATAAATAATATAATAAAATATACGATTAATAACTTTTTTCAATATCTCGTCTCTACAATTTTTAGTTAAATCTGCTATCTTTGCTTTTATTTTTATTTGGCCTAAGGACAATTAGGTAAAAACAAATACAAGCAGATCACGATTTCAGAACCAAAAGGTAACACATTATATAAACAATTTTTTATTAAATGATTAATATATTATAATTATAATTATAGGATTCAAATCCGTTTTCTAATTGCCGTCATCCAAATGGTTCTGAATTTGTTTTCTGTCTACAGAACACTGTTTCACATTTATACACATTAATGCCTTATTTTTAATCATCATCAGCTGATAAAAATTATCAAGGAAATTATATATTTGATTAAATTAAAAACTAGTATATAATACTATAGTATGTAATAGTATACTATATATATAGTATGTAATAGTATATAAACTATTAAGTATTATATTTAATATACTATAAGGTATTTCTGTCTGCAAAAAATATATAAATTTTGCAATGCTAAAGCGTTGTTAGCACAATATTCAAATGACGAGCAATACATAGATTTTAATCACTTGAGACCTCCAAAATTCTACATAATAAATTGAAATAATGTTGGATTTAAGTAACAGCGAGCCTGAAATTTAAGTTTTATTTTTAAATCGTTCGCGAAAACTGATTATTTTATCCAATTGTATTTCTTATTTGATTGTGTGTTCTATTTAATTTTATGAATAATTTTTGTCTAAAATTTTGAAACAGTCTTAAGTTATAAACTTGTAAACTACGTAAATATACAACTTACAAACCTAAAGCTCTACTTTGGCAGTAAGGTTAGCTTTTATTGTACTCTCTCTGTAAGACGAATCATTCACATCAAAGTTAAATGTAATATTATGAATAATAATAATAATAATAATAATAAGCCTTTTATTTCATGCAAATAATAGGTTACATACACGTTTCAAGTATGAAGAAGAAATTATAAAGAAGAAAAGAAAAAAAGGAAAGAAGAAAAAATAATAGTGATGCTGTTTACACTTGTTTGCCCTTTCTCCTCCTCCTTTCATCCCTCTTCCCTCCCTCCCCTCGTTTAAAAAAAATATAAATGTAGATAGTGCTTTTAAAAAAATGTTTATAGTGTGTAAATATAATATTATTATTTATTTTGAAATAACTACCTGGTACTATTTCACTATTTGAATTTCGTTAATTTGTGGATATTTTTTTGGTTTTTAGTTTGTTGTAATAAACTGATGTACTATTATTAAGGTATTTCCTAAAATGAATAAATTAACATGCATTGTTCCAGGTATCCGTGTTTAGTTTTGGCTTTTCTTTCAGTCTAAGATTATATAAATGTGCTAAATATGACTATTGGATGAATTATTTCAAAAATATATCTTTTTCGAATACTTTAACTTTTGTTATAAAATGCCACAGTAAATTAGAAGTAAACTTAATTTTAAAATGTTCCATCAACAATATAGTCTTCGAAGTAACCTGGACTTTTTGCTTCTACAATAAAGTTTAAAATACATTGTTTTTGTAAAAGATTAAGTACGTTTTGACTCACCACGAAAATTGTTACTGAATCCATCAAGCTAAAGATAATAAGCAATACAAATGTTTTTCTGTTTTCTGTTTCGCGATTCTCGCACTTATCTTTACGGCTATTTGTCAGGGGCTTTACTGGTGGTAGGACGTCTTGTGAGTCCGCGCGGGTAGATACCACCACCCTGCCTATTTCTGCCGTGAAGCAGTAATGCGTTTCGGTTTGAAAGGTGGGGTAGCCGTTGTAACTATACTGAGGCCTTAGAACTTATATCTCAAGGTGAGTGGTGCTTTTACGTTGTAGATGTCTATGGGCTCCAGTAACCACTTAACACCAGGTGTGCTGTGAGCTCGTCCATCCATCTAAGCAATAAAGATAAAAAAACTCTGAAAATTGCAACCAAATATATATTCCAGTCAAATTTTTTGTTTAGCAACCCAGTCCACTGATGTTCGAACTAGTTTCTGTAATATGAAAATATCATTTTGTCATCACTCACACAGTGTGATCAAAACGTAGCGAATAACATTCGTGAGTATGCACATGTTGGATCTAGTTATTAAAAGCGTATTTTTTTTACTTAACTCGCTTTTGTATGTAATGGCCTATAGTTTTTAGTCATCGCGATTGTAATATTTAGATCAATTATTCAATTAAATCATCTCCTTAGGAAGTGGCAAATATACCTGATCGAAGAGCATTAATAATCAATTGAGAAGTGTTTTTTTTGCCGACACACTACTACCATTAGGCTTGAGCGGTTGTTAGGTTAGCTCACGGGGCTTAAGCCTTGTTCGGATTAGGCGAGTATTTTAGTTGAGTTCCGAGTAATTTAGTAGGTAAATGTGTCTCAAACACCAAAAATTTAGTCGAGTAGGTTAGTAAATAATTTAGTCAAGTCAATCCATTTTGTTCTATTTTTTCGGGCGAGTACCGAGTAATTTAGTAGCTAAATAAGTCTCAACATCAAAAATTTAGTCGAGTAGGTTAGTAAATAATTTAGTCAAGTCAATCCATTTTGTTAATTTTTTTCGGGCGTGTAGCGAGTAGTTTAGCCACTAAATTACTCGGTACTCGACTAAAATATCGCCTAGTGCGAACAAGGCTTTAGAGTCTCCCTGTTGAAATCATATAGATCGAGAATGTTATTGATATCGAAAAGCAAAACTAATTGCACTGTTGCCAAAATTAAATAAGGCAGTATCACTCTGAATTTAAGGTTCAAGTTTTTGTTGTATCGTTGCACCAATTCTGAAACGCATGAATGGTCAAATGATCATGATAGATCCAACTGTGCATACTCACTTTTTACATCGTAATACGCTCATAACATATGCCATCAGTGAGACTGTTGTTAACATCTTAATACACGTAAATTAATACAAAAATGCACGTATTTGGCGCATAGCCAATTGTCGAAATAAAGAATAATCAAAACTAACGCATCTGTTAAATATAGGGTACAAATTAGACTACCATATGCAATTATTTGCGGTCAGCATCGAGACATCAGCAGTTGGATGTGCTTCTATATGTTAAGCCCTACCGTTACGATCCTTCTCTTGTGACATTATTCTCTGCATCATTCAAAAAGACTTTTTCTGTGTATATGTACTAAAATTTTAAATTAAAAAAGGAACAACCCGAAAAATATTTGGTCTGTATTTGTTAAATTTATTTGAAGTCAATTAATCACTTACCCAACCAACCAACGTTTAACTTCGTAATGTATTCAAACGAAACTTTCTTTAGTATTATAATGGTATATAAATATATTTTTGTTGTCCCTATCTTGTGTTGGTACATAGACAAATCTATTTTTCTGTGTATATGTACTAAAATTCGTAATTTAAAAAGGAACGACCCGAAAAATATTTGTTCTGTATCTGTTAAATTTATTTGACGTCAATTGATTTTAGTAGTAGTAATAGTATTTAAACAAATGTAGAGTAGTATTTAAACGAAAGTAGAGTAGTATTTAAACGAAACTTTCTTTAGTATTATAATCGTATATAAATATATTTTTGTTGTCCCTATCTTGTGCTGGTACACAGACAAATCTATTTTTACCTTCTTTACTAACGTCTAATGTTATAGAATAAACGCTATTCGTTTTAACATCTAAATTTAATATTTGTATCTGTTTATTGTTCTCGTTATCAGCTATTTCTACTTCATTATCTATTTGCGCGTCTTCGTTTAGCGCGGCTATGAATTTCATGCTGTTCCGTCTAGTGTTCTCAACGTTTATTATCTCGCCTATTTTAATTGGATTAACTTTCTCCTCCTTGATTTTCTTGCTATTGTTCAGTATGTTCTTCTGGGACGACACTCGGTTGCTATACCTTCTCCAGAATGAATCGGAAGTGTTCTGACTACTAGAAAACCCAGTCGAAGTGGTCGTATTAAAAGTGTCCCTTCTCTGCATCGTTTCCCTCAGATTCCTACTGCACCTCATCAGCTTGTTTATCTTTAACAGCTTCACGAAGCCGTCCCTGAACTTCGACGACATCAGATTGTATAAAATCGGATTAATGGCTGAATTCAAATACAACATTACCCTACAAAAATACAAAAGTATATAATAACCATCTATACCTAACGACATTATTGTCTCCGGGGGGAATACGATGATCCATAACGTCAACGCTTTGAATGGTAGTAAGCATATGAAAAACGACAACACAACGGTACCTAACATCAGTATGACTTGTTTCCTATAGCGGATGACGTTTCCCGTTCCGCTGGTGTTTTTGCTGCTCTGCGCGATGATGACGGGATTCTCCATTAAGTTTTTAGCGATGACGCTGTATAGGACCAGTAGAACTCCGAGTGGCACGATGAAGAAGATCGCGATGGTCAGGATGAAGAACAAGGCGGACCAGAAAGTGTCGGCTTGGGTGAGGCACACCGGCACCTCAGTTCCATCTTCGTCCTGCTCGTATGTGAAAGTCGCGACGGCGAGAATTGGGCTGTGGAACAAATATTATTTGAATTAATTTAGTACCATAATATCATAGCTAGAGTTTAAACAAAAAAATTATCCGTTTTTATTAATTTCGACATCAGTGATGAAAAAATTTATTAAACTTGATATGCAAGCTTTACAATTGTAAAACGAAGTGTAAAGCTCAACCAACAGCTTAGGTTGACGTTCGATTAATATTTTTTAGGTTTAAAAAGACGCGGACTAGCAAATTCGAAACCGGGCTATTACTATAACGTGTTTGCATTCCATCCTGTCACAAAATTAGATAGGAGTAAGAGCTGTATATGGGTGAAGGTGATTGGATGGATGCTGCTAATAATACGGACCAATTAAACTAAATATAGACTATAGCTAGATATGACCGTATGACTAAATGTCCGTATGCGCAGGATAGCCGGTGATACTCCAGTGTGCTTAATGCGATGTGTGTTTCAATAGACACACACATCGAAGCAGACAATAGATGGCGTTGTACTTCTCGAGCGTTCTCGATATTACTAGCTCCTTTGATATACGTTTCTGCTGTTCGGCGATAGATGGCGTTACTATTTCCGGCCTAACAATAATGTGTGTAATGGTTTCTCTTTTGTTTGTAACGGGCAACCGCCATGGAACACGGATACTTAAAAGATGCCTGATACTCACTTACGACATTTTCAAGATAAGTTTGCATATAATACAAGTTCCGAACAAATAACATTTAGGCTGTTGGTCTACTGAGCAACTTCAACAACTTCTTTGGAAAATCTTCCTTTTGTCGTTTACCCCTCAAACTGGCGACCCTGACGTGATCTGTACACGCAACCTTCTGATATGACCACTTTCAGTATGATTTACATAAAACCCATAAAAATTGTTGATGTTCCTAAATATTTTATGAGATTCAATTCCAATCAAGTCCTACCATATTGCTTACAGATAAGATAACAATCTTTATAATAATATTAAGCTCTTCATTGCCCAGTAATTCTATTTGGCTATGCGACGTTATTGGCTCAGTTCTATAGCGATTCTGTCGCGATATATCATTTTATATTATACTATTTTGTCATTTCGATTTGTTGTGTTTATCACAAAATATTAACTATGACTAGTGTCCCGCAGTAGTCGAAATTCGACTATAATTAATTGGAATTGTAATTTTGTACACTATTATGATTGTATTTTATACTTCTATAATCACAAATTTCGCCTAGACTACACTATATTTTTTTTTAACAAAGACAAACCATATTCTATTCTCAATTTGACAACATATGTCAAGAACAAAAGTTTGACAATAAATAGTATGCATGCGTGTGTGCGTCAAATACATGGTACGTAGTGTGTGTAATGTTTTCTTTATTGATTTAAGGTATCTTTTATGCATTATTTAAAAAAAATATTAGCATTGTGCACTTCTTCTCTATATTCTCTATAAGTGTGGAAAATTTCATACTCCTCCGTCCACGCAATTTTCATAAAAAGGGATACAAAGTTTTTGCTTCACCTATTAATATATAGATATCTGTGGTAAATAAAAACTCTTTAAAAGGGGTTCATTGATCAGTGTTGATAAGTTTTCAGTCTTCGTCAAGCGACGCAAGTTCCAGTTTGAACCATTAGTGTACAGTATTAGTAGTTCTGACCGCGGGCGAGGATCGGACGTTGGGTGAGAGGGTACAAGAGGATTCGTTTGGTGGGTAGGGCCCCAAAAGCAACCTTGAGTCCGCGGTCTGCTCTCAACAACTTGAGACCGTCAAGTTCCAAATACCCCGCGTGGCCCCTAGGTGTGAACACCACGTATGAGGCTCGGCACCATAATTTAATATATTATTTTGTTTCGCGGTCCGTGAAAAAAATTTAGTTGTTATGGTCTCCATTCACGGCTATAACAATCATGACTGATCAGTGAAAGTGTGTGAAGAAAAATATACCAACATGTACGCGCTTAGAACGCAAGCCGATATTCAATATACATAAATAAAATCATACTGTCACACATAAAAGCATGAAAAGTTTCGAGTTTAGCCTGAGATTTCGCAGTGATTTATCAGCCTTTCTAAAAAAAAATGTTTTTTATTGCGCGGTTTATAAATGCCAGTGGCACGGCTTCCACTTCGCCCATTCATAAGTTTTGTTTTTGAAGTACTCTGAGTTTATGATTCTGCTGATTGTGTAATGCCTGTGCCAGTCGTTTGAATGACATTTTCTTATTGCTTAGATCCGCGAATAAGCTCACACTCCTCGTGTAATAGTCACGGATGACGACATAAATAGTACGATCCTGGCTGAGCCCTCTCACCCACCTGTCCTGGTAAAACTGGAAAGGCCTCCGGGCCACCAGTAATCCTTCAATAATAAAAAAATAGAAAATACGATGACAATTAAAAAAAATCCGACACCTTAAAAGTGTTTTTAATTATGTTAATTTTATTAAATTACCTCTTTGGTTTTCTAATTTCCAAATAAACACATAATATATTGAAATCAATAGAAATATTTCGTAGCGATCAAACAAAAAAGAACCGTCAAAAAACACTTAAATAAATATTTTTCGCAGTAAACAAGCATTTAAAATTTATAGACACGGCTCGTTTGGCATGAGCTGTTAGCGTTTTAAAGTCTGTGGTCGCTGCTGTCGAAGTTAAGCCTTTCAGAGTGATGTTTGTCGTTTCAATTATCATTCCTGAGCATTTTAATGGATCCTCAAATAATAGTGTCAGCAGTAAATAATACTGGCTGTGTTAAGTGTTATGTTTTGTTGCGTGATAAATTGATCATAAAACATAGGTGTTTTTTATTTTTTTTATTGCCCTTGCAGGCAAACGAGCGCACGGCCCACCTGATGGTGAGTGGTTACCGTCGCCCATGGACTTCAGCGGCCAAGCCGCTGCCTACCACTTAATACTCTCCACAAGCCTCGTTTGAAGGACATGCCATAGCACTTGGGAAACACCGTGGAGGGGAACCATAGCCGGATGGTACGTGGCAAAAAAGACCTCTGGAAACGCACTGTGGATGACCGCAGTGGCTCCAGGTAGTATGGATGAACTCTACTCCGGTGGCGGGCGGTGCGATGGTAAAAACGAGATGACGATATCATCTCGAACAATTCCTCAGAGCACTCACCAAAATGCATCGTATTTTCTCATATTTAATTATGATTAGTAATTGTTCGGTGTTCAAAATGTACAAATTTTAGAGAAACACGTTCACGATACGTATTCACTAACAACTTCCAAGATGAATAAATGGCGTCGGATAATAAATTCAAACCCGTAAAAATACATGTCTAATTAATGAAGTCGGTATTTAAAATTACTTTTACGATTTAATCTCGTGTTTTTTTATTGTCAATGTTTCGAATACTAGTAAACCATGGACTAAGTTCAGTTGGTTTTGGCATAGACACAGCGGACTGAGTTTCTCGCCGGATTTTATCAGTGGATCGCGATTCCGATCTGGTGATAGATTCGGCAAAGCACTGCTGTTTCTAGGCCTGGTGTTTGTAATCCCTTTCAGATTCAGCCCGTAAGCTAAACCACCCGTCCGCGCGAAGCTAGGATAGCTCCTTAGGCAGGGAAAATAAGTGTGGATGGATGCTTCATAATTTTAAGTAGTTCGCTTAGGTATGTTTTAAGATTTAATTATGTAATTACTTACAGGAAAACGTCCTTATTGTATGCGAGTAAAATAGCGCTTCATTACAAAACACAATTCAAATGCTTCGTTACCTTTGTTTGGTTCGCGGACAATAACAGTATAACAGATTGGGGGGGGGCAAATAAATTAATTTCGGTATATAAATGAAGCAGCAGACACATTTAATAATATAGATAAACTGAAATATATTTTGAAACCATAGCAAGACAGCGCGGTGTTTTCCCAATGATGATTTTTTTTTTATATTTGAGATGATGTTTGAGAGCATACTCCCATGCTCGGTGTTATTTTTATATAATGATTTTTTATTTCAAATCTCATTTACTGCAGACATTGTTTTTATAGCATAGACGAGTGAATGAGCTCACTGCAGATCTGCTGTTAAATGTTACCAGAGTCCATAGACATTAAAAAATGTATTCCGCTACCCATATTAAGATTTTAAGTCTATACGTCTCAATTGTAGACAATTAAGACAGTTATCCCCCTCCTGGCTGAGCCCTTGCTTGCCCAGCTGACCTGGTGAAACTGGAAAGGCCTCCGAGCCACCAGTAATCCATCCATCATTAAAAAGATTATACAAATTAAATTTTTTGCGAGGCTAAATTTTTGTTACACCACGTTATTCCTTCATCGTGGAAGTCATTAGTAAACATGTTACAAAAATTGTTACCTCCCCGCTGGATTCGAACGTAGGCACAGTCGCGTATACGAGTACACCAAGCGTCTTATCCTTTAGGCCACGACGGCTTCATATTGCACTCGCTTCCCAATATTTTCCCTACATTGGTATCTTAGTGTATTTTCTTTTCTACCTTACGGCCCCTCTCTTCCTAGCAGACTCTTTTTTAAGCCTTGTTTAAAGAGAAACATTTCAAAACACCCCTTCCTATATATTCTTTCCTACCTATACTGGTGGTCTTGATAGACCATTTCAGCGTAGCCTTAAATAGTGGATGAGCTCACGGGGATCAAACTTGACGACGTTGCTAACACTAACAACCCTAGCAGGAGCTGCGCTTCGCAGAATCTACTATCGGATCGGAAACGCGACCCACTGAGAAGCTTCGGCGAGAAACTCAGTGGGTTGTGCCTGTGGGTTAATTTACTCGCCGAGTCCTTCGTCGCAAGCGACGGGTTCGACGAGAACGATGACCGGTGCTTGCGGTACCTAAAAGCACCGTTAGTGCATCAGGAGGATCCGAAATGACTTCCTATTATTCCAATCTTAAGTATTACTTCTCGGGCGTATTGTAAGCCCATGGTAATAATTAGTACCATCCGTCCTATAGAGTGCAGAGAATATGACTGCATGATTTCGAAAATTAAAATCGCATTTCCTACTTAATTGAAAAATTGCTTTTCTTTTCGCCTTTCGAAGTCAATCTAGGACTCTTTTCAAATCACATTTGATGATAGACATATATTTCTGATAAAAGATGGATGGGAAGTCCGGTCATTCCAGAGTCGTACATTTTACGGTTAAAGAACAGCACGCCAATCATTTATGAATTCAACTTTATCTCGTATATCTTTTATATTAATATTGTAATTAAAAATCAAAAATAATCATTCACCAAACTCGGGTAATTAATATTTAGCACGAATTCCTTTGTTTCAATATAAATAGTTCCAAAACATTCGGATGGCAAAATTTTATTGTTTCGGCGCATTGTTTGCACACAATGTGCACATAATTCGAGCGTTAACTTGAACTTGAGTACTCGTATTGTTCGAGAATGTTCTAGAAAAGCCTCGCTTGATTTATCGTCGAACGTTTTCGTACGAGAACTGCGCTGAGTCGACGGAAAATTTATTGATATATGTAGTAGAAGTCTAGATTTTATTCGGTCAAAATTCTAGGACTGTCTATTAAAAGGCTGACGTAACCGGATTTTGTCGAATATTTTTGGTTTTCTTGAAGGCAAATTTTTAAAGGATTTTCTTTCTCTTTCTTTCGCAGACCCAATGATATTGTTACGCCGGTAAGAGTAACGCCATCTATCGCC